TTGGCGGCCGCTGTGCCTGCCAGCCCCACGAAGTGCCCGGAGCCGATGTTGCTGGCAAAGAGTGACGCGCCCACCTGCGGGGAGGTTGGGGGTCACTGGGGAGTACCGAGGTGGCCCCCCAGCCTGGCCCTGCGCCACCCTGATGCAGCTCCCCAGGCCTGGCTGGACCCTCCTCCTGCAGCCACGGGGCCTTGGCCAGGCATGCGTCCATCCATCCGCCCCCCATGGCTGCTGTACCCATCCCTCCATCCATCCTACCCCCCTGCCGCTTCCACCTCCTCCATCCCCCCGCACCCCGGCACCCACACTCACCGGCGCCCAGGACATGTTCCTGCCCGCTAGGAAGTACCCGCCGACGCTGCCCCGGCTGGTGCGGCACATTGACTGGGGTGGGGGTGGGAGCGGTCTCTGTGAGCCCCAGGACCCCCAGCACCTGCCCCCATGCCCGCCCAGGGGCCACAACCCACCACTATGGGATTGCTTTGGAGCCAGTGGGTGAGCGGGTGATACTGGGAGGATATAAGGCTGGGACTGGTGGGACTGGGCTATACTGGGAGGATGTGAGGGTGGAACTGGCGAGGCTGGGATATACTGGGAGACATGAGAGTGGAACTGGGGAGAGACTGGATTATACTGGGAGGTTGTGAGAGTGGAGCTGGTGAGACTTGGCTATACTGGGTGGATGTGTGGTTGGAACTGGGGACAGACTGGGTTATATTGGGAGAACTTTTGGGTGGAATTGTGGAGAGACTGGGCTATGCTAGGAGAAAGTGCAGCTTGAACTGGTGAGACACTGGGTCCCAGATACTGGGAGGATGTGAGGCTGGAACTAGTGAGAGACTAGGTGATACTGGGAGGACATGAGGCTAGAATAGTGGGTGACTGGATTATACTGGGAAGCTGGGAGGCTAGATCTGGATCCAGGACTCCTGGGTTCTCTGTGAAGGGGGTGGGAGCGGGTGCGGTGCTGGGAGCCCAGACACCTGGGTTCCCAGTATCTGCCTCCCTCGCATTTTAACTCCCTGTGACCGAGGCCTTAATGAGCTGTGTCTTACACACCAATTACAAGCCCTGTTGGACTGTGGCCTTCTGGGTAATGATTAAGCCCCTGCCCTGACTGGACCCATGATCAAAGAGGAGGGAGGGACAAGAATCACGAGAAGTGGGGTGGGGCAGAAGGGGGCAGAATGTGGGGACAAGGATGGGGACACTGAGGTCTAGGTACATCAAGGCCACCATTGAGGTGGCTTCAAGATCCATCAACACCACCATGGATATGGTCCTGGGCACATTGGTTACATCATTTATGTCCCTGGAGGTTATGTTAGTGACATCATCGACCTGGGTTTTAGGTGTATCAAGGGCACTACTCCCATGAGTTCTAGGTCCATCAAGGCCACTGCGGATGTAGCCTGAGGGATACTGGTGACATCATTTATGACCCTAGAGGCTGCGTTAATGACATCAACCTGGGTTCTAGGTGTATCAAGGGCACTACTTACATGGGTTCTAGGTTCATCAACAGTGCCAGAGGCTGAGGGGGGGAGGCAGGGTGCTGGGTCTGAGCATCCTGGGATTTAGGGTGGGAGAGAAAGGAACTCTCTAGGATCGGGTTGGGAAGCCCTGATTTCTGGGGGTGGGTGGAGGGGGGGAGGGCAGGGGGCAGATGGGGTGGAGTAGGGCTGAAAAATGGATGGTTGGACGGACGTATGGATGGGAATGGAAGTCATGTGTGAGGCCTGAGGGATAGATGGATGGAAAAGAGGGGGCCTGTGGAGATGGATAGGACGGTGCATAGGTAAAGGTGGTGTGGGGAAATAGATGGCTATATCGACAGACCTCTCATCTCCCCTACCCCTTCCTCGGGGCAGGGGCAGGGGTTGGGGTCTTGGTTGGGATAGAGGTGGGGTGGGGTTGGGTTGTTGGTTGAGGTAGGGGTGGAGAGAGAGCTGAGGACCGTGTAGGGGCATTTGTTGGGGTTCTGTTGGTTTGAGGTTGGAGGGGTGGTTGGTGGGG